TGCGTACAGATGTTCGCGCAAGCGGTTCTACGGGCGTTGACTGGTGCGCGTAAAGCTCGGGAAGCGAGCGCGGCTCATGCGGATGTGTTCGGTGGTCACGGGGTTTGCATGCAAGCAATAGTCGTTATTCTAAGACAGACAGAATAGATCTTAAGCACTACGGGGTGTCGCGTGGCCTTTAATGTTATTCCAACCGCCTGATTGCCTTATCCTTAGAAGGACGGGGCGTCGCCTCTTTCTGCGGCTTATCCTTAGAAGGACTAGCGCGCTTGTGTAGTCTAAAGGCCGTGTATAAAGGTGGAGTCGGCGCGACACTGGTGGTTATCCTATTATGGTTAATTAACGCTTCGGTGAACGACAAATATGAAATGATAACATGAACGTTGCGGTCGTGAAGTGAAACGCGCCCAATGAGTATAGTGTGTTATGTACAGTATGAATTGGTCTTTATGTAGAAATATATTTAAGACCGTATCATATTACGATTTACGGACTTGGTAATGGTTATGGTTATGATTGAGTATTGAGAATCCACAAATCATATCCTAACTGATCCACGCAACTCGGTCGGCGAACTGTTTCGCGCTGATTGGTTGATTAGGGGAACCTTAACTCTTGTTATAGAAACTTTACAATTAATGGTGGACAATCTCTTAGATTTAATGTAAGCCAATTAAAAATTTAAATGGTCACAGATCACAAAAGATCCTTCGAAGATTAGAGTGTTTGAAAAAAATTCTATATATTTTATGTTTGACCTGGAATATACCATTATACATAGAATTTTTCCAGGGCAGTCCTGGAAGCTGCTATTATGTAAGTGTCTTGGAAAACTTTAGAAACGTAATATCTCAAGAACGGAAAGAAATATTTAATTCTTTAAGATCAAAATGAGTTTGAATATTAATGCTTTATTAGAATATAGTAAAAATATATGAGATTTCTAAATGTCCCGGAACAGACCTTTTGACACACACACACATATATATATACAGGGTGCCCCATTTTAAAAGTTCCACCCTCATAACTTTTCAGGATCAACGCTTGAAGAAGAATGTTTGAAATAAAAGTTGTATGGTATCGAGGGGGAGATTTTTTGGAAGTGAACATTTTTTTTAGGTGGTGGCTCTTAGAAGATTTGAAGGTCATCTTAATTTTTTTAAATGAAACCCCTCTTTTTTTATTACATATTCTTGTAGCTTATCTTGAGAGCTTTGTCATTTTAATCAACGCACGCAAATATCTCGTAAAGTAAGCAAGATGGAAAAAAATGTGTAATACAAAAGTTGTAGGGTTCAGAGGGGTACACATGATGAAAATATGAACTTGATCTTGAGTGACCTTTTCAAGGCCAAGTCAATGTGATCAATATTTTCTTAAATGGAACCCCCCATTTTTTATTGCATATTCTTGTAGCTTATCTCGAGAGCTTTTCAAAACACTATAATAAAGTATTTTTTCATTAAGTACTTTTTGAGTTATTTTATATTTTATTCTGACATATTTTGATATAAAAAATAAAATATCTCGTAAAATATTCAGTTTTTGATAATCTTACCGTAATACTTTTATATTCAGAATAATGGGACAAATCAACTATTATAAAAACAATAATTGTTTTTAAGAAAAAGTATGTAATTATTTACTATATATTTTTTAAAACAATTATTTGTTTTTTTCTTAAATGGAACCCCCATTTTTTATTGCATAGTCTTGTAGCTTATCTCGAAAGCTTTTCAAAACACTATAATAAAGTATTTTTTCATTAAGTACTTTTTGAGTTATTTTATATTTTATTCTGACATATTTTGATATAAAAAATAAAATATCTCGTAAAATATTCAGTTTTTGATAATCTTACCGTAATACTTTTATGTACAGAATAATGAGACAAATCAATTAGTATAAAAAAAAATAATTGTTTTTAAGAAAAAGTATGTAATTATTTACAATATATTTACATAAACAGCAAACCGATATCCAAGTATGCTATCTTAACTCTTGTAACGGCAGGACCGTTACTACGCTCGTGTACATATGTCAATATATATATGTCAATCGTATACTTTGACGACGATTTTCCACAAACATCGGCTACTTTGACGACTTCTGGCTGTTTCGACGACCGTCGTCAAAGTTCTAACCGTTCAATCGTATATTTTGACGACTGTCGCTAAACCATAATGGTAAAAGGGATATTTTCACGACACTGTATAGATTGACGACATGAAATACACAGTGGCGATTTTGACGACATCAAACAAATATTGTAAATTTACTTTATATTTTAACAAAAACACATTTATTTGGTATAATTTTATGGATCAAAGATAATAGTCAGGTCAGGTATAATAATCCTCAACAAATTAACTTATCATAGTCGAATGTGAAAAAATAATCGAATTTAGATAATTTATTCTTACCGCTTAATAAATCTATTGTAGACCCGGCCTATATTACCATATTCTAATATATATATATGTATGTGAGACGGTATATAAAAGTAAACCTTCAAGTATAATTATTATAAATATAATTATTATATTGATACAGGATTATTTCTCTGAAAAATAATATATTCATATATACACTCCAATGTAATTGTAAACTTGATAAATCGGTTAAGAACAAAATATTATAAGATTTTTTTTTTATGATACAGATAATATACAATATGCTGCATTTGGGTATGACACGCTAAAGCGAAGTCTTCACTGATGTATTCACTAACTGAATGTCGATACAAATGTTTATTCAATCTTCTAACATATTCTAGCAATACGAAACCATTATTGCTTCAATAGACACTGCAAGATAATGAATGAGCGTTGATCATTCCATTACAGATCACAAGATTCTATTAGCGGAGACTATAATATTGAACTCTCGCTTAAAAGATTCTCGTGCTTTGTAAATGGACTTCGTCCTGACGTTCGATGCAATCTGGATTCCTGGTTTCCAAATTAGTACCAATCTATTATTTTCGCTTGCTTAAAATTAAAATAAACATGATATAATATTAGTAGGCAATGTGACATTAAGATCTCATTCGTATAGCAATCTTACTAATATAATTGTCATTATCACAATTTAGTCTTTCTTTAGAATGAATGAACAGAAGGAAAATATTTAAAACATTACCTTATACTCTCTCTGTGTTTGCCAAATAGTTGTTCCAGCACTGGTATGTATTGCATAAACACAAAAATGCATTATTTCCAGCAAAGATTCCACTGTAAATAAAAGAGATTGATTAATGACTAGAAAATTATGAGGATTGGTAATATATTGGTACAGAATCAGATAATAGATTGGTACTAATTTGGAAACCAGGAATCCAGATTGCATCGAATGTCAGGAGGAAGTCCATTTACAAAGCACGAGAATCTTTTAAGCGAGAGTTCAGTATTATAGTCTCCGCTAATAGAATCTTGTGATCTGTAATGGAATGATCAACGCTCATTCACTAACTTGCAGTGTCTGTTGAAGCAATAATCATTTCGTACGATCATTGTTAACGTGTTAGAAGATTGAGTAAACATTTATATTGGCATTTAATCAGTGAATACATCAGTGAAGACTGCTTTAACTTGTCATATCCAAATGCAGCATATTGTATATTATTTGTATTACAAAAGAAAAATCTTATATTTTGTTTTTAACCGATTTATCAACTTTACAATTGCATTGGAGTATATACAGGGTGGTCCTCGTAACGGTCGCCACGATTTTTAAGGCACTTACAGTAATCTGACATAAAAAAGTTATAAACAGAAATGTAATAATCTGAAGGCGTAAGAAATTAATTCCGGATTGAAGTCGTGTCCTGCACTGATTTGTTTCCAACGTTTCGTGAACATTCCACTTCTTTTTTTCAGAGAGAACGATCTGAGACTTTCAGATACTAAAAGTTTTAGGTCGCTCTTCTTTTTTAAATAGTAAAATGAAATTTTTACGAGACTTCGGAAACAAACTTGTTAAAGACGCAGCACAAATCTAGACGCTATATTTAATATTTTACAACGCAGGGAGTGAGAGAAAGAGAGAGAGAGAGAGAGAGAGTGTGTGTGTGTGTGTGTGTGTGAGAGAGAGAGAATATTAGATATACAATTTTCTTTTGTCAGGAAAGTTTTTAAAGGTAAAAAAGAATACGCCAAGTATATAAAAAAATCCCAACTTGTACAGTAGGGTTATAGGGCCGGTTCTAACTCTGTGGTCCTCTGAGGGGTGGTGAGGGACGGGGGGTCCCGCGCGGGCGAGGGGGCATGACGTCACGCGGGCGGAGGGGGATTTTGGTGGCGCGGGGGAATGACGTCACGCGGGCGGGGAGCTTATCGCGGGAGCATAATCAGCGCGGTGTATTACAAAGGGCGGGTGCCGATGTCCGACTGCTCGAATTTATAAACATTATAAACAAATATCGTCTCGCACTATTGCACGTGCGGCATTATTGAATTTCATAGAAAGATGATAAGGCGAGCGCCGATGTCCGGCTGCTAGAATTATAGTGCCTCATTCGCAAATTATTGCACTAAACGGACGTACAAAATTTTGCACCATATATTTTTATTATTCCACGGGTGGTGCTTTAGATTTATGTACTACATGTATGATCGCTATAGCAGACACTGATTTCGGGTACATGTATGCGGTTCGGAAGCATGTGATTGAGATATACGACGCGATAAGTGGCCGGTCCTGCTCCAATTGCAGACTTCCGATGTATCAGATCTTTCCATGCAATATGTGTCCAATTTGTACACAGTAAAAAAGAACATTATAAAAAGTGTAAAAAATAATAATAAAAAAACATGGAAAACACCGAGCAAACCGAACGCGACCTGTTGGAGCTATCGCACCGAGTCGCTACCTTGGGCGAGTATTTCGCGTGGGCGCAGCGATGCGAAGAATTTTTTAAACAGCTCGAGGAACGCAGTAGTGTCAAGCGTCCGCGGCTCTCGATCGGAGTTTGACAATCTTTGGTGGCTAGAATCGCGCGACTCGAGGGTGCGAAGATTCGATTAGAGAGACGGTTTATACATAGCGGTGGTGATTACAGTGGTGGGAATAACGCGGAAAGACTCGTTTGGCGAGAGATCGATACCGCGTTCGAAAACCGTATACTGACCGGTGCGTTGATTAACGCATACTATATCGAATCGCGGCAATTTCTCGAGGATGCGAAAGACATTGTGCTCGAACACGTGCAAAAAGTTATGGAAAGATACTTTAACGTGAAAGTGAATACTGTGTTCAACGGTGAATTCGTGTCGGGTGATAAGAGCGCCAATAAGAGTATCAATATCAGAAACTATGAACTCTTTCGCATGTCCGATCTACACGAGTGGTACGAGCGACGCGTCGTCGAGCCCACGCTTGCCTCGTTAGAAGAATTTCAAGAACGCGACAGCGGGTGGGCTTTGTCGCGAATCCTCGATTTAACTGTAAATATAAATAAATATAATCCAATGCGCGCGGGGTGCCATATTAAATTACCGCGAGAAATAATAATGAAGAGGGCGGTGATAAACGTGCAATCCAAAGACAATGCGTGTTTCGCGTGGGCGGTGGTCGACGCTCTATATCCAGCCGAAAGAAACGCGGATCGGGAATCTTCGTACCCGCATTACATAACAGTGCTGAATCTCCAGGACATTGAGTTGCCGGTAACTGTTAATCAAATTAAAAAGTTTGAACTTCATAACGATATTTCGATAAATGTATACTGCATCGAGAAAGAGAATAACGTTGTCCCGATACGTCTGAGCGAACAAAAAAAGGACAGACACGTCAACTTGCTGTACGTGCAAGATTCGCAAGCCGTCGGACATTTTGCGTGGATCAAGAATTTATCCCGCCTCGTGAGCTCGCAACTGAGCAAAAAAGATCATAGGAAATATATCTGCGATCGGTACGTATATTTAATAAAAATGCAATATATAAAATATACGAAAGAAAAATTAATTATTTCTTTTTTTACAGATGTTTACACTATTTTGGATCGGACGACAAGTTGCAGTCGCACACTGTAGACTGTCGAGAAATGAACGAGTGCGCCATCCGATTACCGGGCGATAAGGACAAGTGGCTCGCGTTCAACAACTACAACAGAAAGGAGCGGCTTCCATTCGTCGTATACGCCGACTTGGAGTGCGTGCTGAGAAAGACCGACGGTGATCCTATGACGTCTACGTACACGTTTCAACATTATCAAGTATTTAGTGTAGCTTATTATGTACATTGTTCGTACGACGAATCGTTATCCGCTTATTATTCTCGCCGCAGTACGAACTGCGTTTCGTGGTTCGTGGAAAAATTAAAAAATTAAGCGCAACGCGTAAAGACTATTTTAACCACAAATATCCCCATGGTAAATTTAACGCGAGATGAGCGGGAACAGTTTCACAGCGCGACACACTGTCATATTTGCGAAAAACCGTTCGAGCAAGACGATACACGCGTACGCGATCATTGCCATCTTACCGGACGGTACCGAGGTCCCGCGCATTCAAACTGCAATTTAAATTATAAAGACTCTTTTTGCATTCCAATAGTTTTTCACAATTTACCCGGTTACGATTCACATTTTATCATCGAGGAAATAGCTACCGCGTTCGAATGCTCGATCAACGTACTACCGACAACGAAAGAAAAGTATATTTCATTCACGAAACACGTTAAAGATACCCGTCGAAAGACTTGACCGGTGACACTGTATCCGAGAGCGATTACGCGCACGCCGAAAACGTCTGGATGCGGTTCTCCGTTCGAACGCTGGGCGAATACAGCGATTTGTATTTAAAAACGGATTTCTTGTGATTGGCCGACGTTTTTGAAAATTTTCGCGACAAATGTATCGAGAGTTATGGGCTCGACCCCGCGTATTACTATACTCTTCCCGGATACACGTGGGACGCCATGCTAAAACATACGAATATTACGTTTGAATTACTTACTGATATCGATATGGTTATGTTTATCGAACGCGGAATACACGGTGGTTTGAGTCAATGTTCCAACAGATACGCACATGCTAATAACAAGTATATGCAATCAGATACGCGCGAGCCAATAACAAGTACACGCCGTCGAGTGGCACCCGTTTGACCACGTTAATATTGACCACTGTCCCAATTGACCACGTTGAGATTGACCACGTTGCGATTGACCAC